CTCCCTCCCTCCCTCCCTCCCTCCCTGAGGATCAAACCCAGTGCATCATATGTCCTAGGTGAGCACTCCACCTACCACTGAGCTACAACTGCAGCCCCTGTCTGTTGCTTCTTAACTTAATAATCCACCTGTCCTAGTCTTCAAATTTAACCATCCATGTTAATTTGGTTATTGACCCTAAGGGAAATAGAGGTTTTCGAAGGTATGTTTTCCATTACTGAACAGCATAATATAATCTTACTGCTAACATTCAAATAGCAATATTCATTTATTTTGTTTTTCCCAGTAGTCATGACCCCGGCAAGGCTTGTTAACTGCCATTTCAGACCACATTTTGAATAAAATTTTGTTAAAATTTTGGAAGATTTAACTCAGTAAAACCTTAACTTTAATTTTTATTAGTGACTACTATAACTGGTTAAGAATATTTTTTGAATCTCAATTATATGTTAAAATTAGCTGAGTTAACTTTTTTATGGTAGGTGGTAAAAATCATTGGAAGAAAGCCTTTTAGCCTCTTCTTCCTCAGTGTGACACAGCTAATGTCTACTCAAATTCTTTGTTGTTCTACCTTCTTCTTTTTTGTTCTTTCTGGAGCCAAACACTGTAAACCAGAGAAGCGCCCCCCAGACTTCTCACCATCTGCTTCACTTAGGGTGTTGTATTTGTGTCCTAGTATTCCTTTGGTGAGTGAAATTTGAACCCAGGATGATGTGAGTTCTATTTAATGAAACTTATTTAATTAGCATAGTTAGTGAAGCTTAAAAATAAAAGCAAATGACTTTTAATTTTAAACCTCACTCCCTGCCAAAAAAAAAGAAGGTCCAGAAACATCTACCAGCATTTTTTGCTATTTAATGAATTACAAATTCATCAATTTTATTTTGGGAAGTATTTAACATCTTTTGAAGTTTCTCCATGTCCTCAGCTTTTCAAAGAAAGAAGGCTATATACCTATTTCCCATAGCTCTTCTAGTTTGAGATGAAGTTATGAACTGAATTTCATAAAACGTTGCAGTTGATAAGAGATTAAAAATTTGGTTGTCAATCCTCATAATAATTTTTTTCTGTAAGAAAAATTGAAAAATGACCACATATCCATCATAAAGATACCTTTTAACTTCTGATACATGCTGTTTAGGAAAAAAAAATTTCCCTTTCCTTTTTTATCCCTAGTGCTAGCCCACACTCTGCCTGCATGCTCCACCTCCAGGTGCTTTTCCCTTTCTTAATATGTAATGATTCTGTTTGATATCTAGGTTTAAAATTTGGTATTTGGAAAGGAATGGTATTTTAGGTATATTTTTCTTGAGAGATTAATCTACCTCTTTGCTAAAAAGAAGCAGTAACTCTTAATCATTCCAGGAATGACGATCTTATTTTCCTTAATTGAGGCAGTCAGTCTGTCTTCCACAATATAATTCATCTGACTGTTTTTGACCTTCCTGACCAGCCATGAGAGTATCTTCCAGACAAAACAGAATGTTTTGGAACGAGCACTCTGTTATTCAATTTTCCTAAGATTAAGAAGTTTGCTTTGTGATTGTAGATAGGTTATCACCTCTGGAAGACATGAACTGGCATGGCAGAAGGACTTAGGACATTTTATAAAGGTTTATTTATAGAAGTCTTTCCCTCTGTCATTTTAGTGTATTAAATGAGCTGAACCTTTCCTTTCTCCAAAATGTATTTGTAGTTCAAAAAAAATGTTCTATTTCCTTAGTTGTAGTGTGCATAATAGTTTTTAGTCATCATTCCAGAATAGTTATACTTCAATAATATAGAGAAAAGGAGATTGAGTTGATTCCTTCTAAGTTGCCATGTATGTGAAATTTTCTGTTTTACCTTACTTTGACTACCTTCCTGATAGATCAATGATCCTCAGTTAAGAGTTTTGGTTTGTGAGATTATTTAATCCATCAACAAAGATTTGTTAATGTATACCTAATATAAGGTAACTTACATGCTATACTAAGGTCAAGAGATGTATAAATTCTACTTCTACTGTAGAGGTTTCAACTTTAATAGAGGTTATTTGCAGCAAGGACCACAGGCTGGCACAGAGTCTTCCAGTCTTTAGAGGAAGGTGAGAAATAACTTTCATCTGAGGGGATATGGGTAGTGTCAAGGAGGAGCTGGTGCTGGCACTAATCTTAAAGTATAGGAGGGTATTTACATATACAGTGGGAAATGGGAAGTTGAAATGGAGGTTATAACATAAAGCCAAGAAAGCCAAGATGTCAAAAAAACCTCAAGCCACGTTTGGAGCATGATGAACATTCAAATGATCAGTTGAGCAGAAAGAATATGGAGGAGAACTGTGGGGCCAGGCTAAGGAGGAACAGGGGAGAAATGTATTCAGATATGAATCTTAGGGATCAGAATCTAGAAGTAAGATGCAGAAGACACAGGAAACTTGTTGGATGTGGATGGCAGCATCAGAAATGGGGGCAGGAGGAAGGAACAGGATGTCCAGCAACACTGATTCTTCTTCTTACTCAATATAGTCACCAGGGAAGAGATCCCCCAGTGCTCAGGGGATCAGGCAGTTGATGGGGCCACTGTCAGGTGTTCTCCTGGTAATACGTGAAGACCATGCAAAGGAAGCAGGTCGTGAGATATTTTTAAAAAGTTTTGAGGTTTGGGAGAGTTTGGGGGTGCAAGTATACATTCAGCACTCAGAGTCCTTGAGATGCCAGGTAGCAGCTGGAGAAAGAGGGCAAAGAGTACAGATTGAACCTCTAGGACTTTACTGTAGTTAGAGGAGAAAGGAGAATAAGGCTGATGGCAGGAACAGGAGATGAGAGGCAGTGGGTAGAATTTTCCTGGAAGTTGGAAGTCAGATCATTTCAAGCAGGAAAGGATAAATCTAGGGGAGAGAGGGCCAAGAAGAGGTCACTGGCCTTATCAGTAAGGCTGGAGATGACTTTGGACTTTTATATTTGTGTGTTTTCGAGTGTGTGTGTGTGTGTGTGTGTGTGTGTGTGTGTGTGTGTGTGTTTTTCTGGGGATGGAACTCAAGGCATCACACATGCAAGACATGCATTCTACCACTAAGCTACATATCTGATGCCTGACTTTAAGAAAAAAGCATTTTGGTGATAGGATGGAATAACTTAGTGAGAACAGAGGAGGTTTAGAAGTTGATGGTTTATGAGGGAAATGCAAACTGAGTGGATTCTTTTCTCAGATCTCTTGGTAGAAAGACAAGAGAATATACTAGATGACAGATATATCAGCATCCCCGCAGGTTTCCAAGTCCCTTCCCATAATCCTAAGTCTGTAGTGAGGTTTGAGAACTTGCATTTCTAGGAGATGTCCAGGTGATGCCTAACCCTCATCTGAGGACAATACTTTGAGAGCTGTTACTCTGGTGTTTCAGGTTTCTTGGTTTATCCATGTAGAGAATGTGTCTCAAATGCATTCTTCTTTGACTTTCTTCTTTAATGTATGAGTTTTTGAGTTTGATAAAACATAGTTCTGTTACTCATCATTAATGCTATGGACTTTTAAAGCCCCAAACTCTATCTGCAATTAGGCATGGTGAGAATGGAAAGAGACTGAAGAGAATCTGATATACCTTTATGCTAAGGATCTTCACATTCATAAATCTTCCTTTTTCTAAACAGTACAGACAGTCCATGAGAATAAATACTTCTCAGTTACTTCTAACATTTTAAAGAAATAGTATGAGTACAAACTATGGTAGGCATGTCCTACAAAATCTCATGCTTTCATACCTCTGTTTCTGCTCTGATCTAAGATAGGTTGATTCTTAGTCACAGGGAGAGTGGGCATAGAGAATTGGGATCCTGATGAAGCCCCTTGGGTGCTGACTTTGCTCACCTGCCAGGCAGCTGGGGCATGCTGCTCTGTCACTAGACCACTTTAGGCTCTGTCTGTTTTCATAGTAGCTTGTTTTGGGATTCTATTGTAAAATACATATTTTATTTTTTTCAATTAATTTAAGTATTACTCAACTTTGCAGAATTTATTGTACTTCTAGATGATATACTTTTTTTTAAAAATGAATAAATTCTTTCTGACCATGGAATGCTTGCAATAGATTAAATAAAATAAATGTCTTATTGTTTGGGGCTCTTTTGAAAGAGGTTTCTAATATTAGCACATTTTGTATTTAATTCTGAATCTATGACTTTTAGACTGTTTGTTTTGGCTTCTCTTTGTGTGGAATAAAGTCTTCTATCACTCTCACTTCCAGTTAATTTGATGTGGGCTATGGTATACTAAAAGTAAGGAAAATAAAATAATAGGAAGTTGGTCTGGTTTCCTGTAGGAAACCAATGAAGATGAAATTGGTTCTTGGAATAAGCCCACAGCAGTCTGGGAAATACTGACTGAAGACATTTTTCTGAATCATAAACAGAAAAATTATGACTCATGAAGTAGGTCATTGAAAGACTGATTTGATCTTATGTGGGAGAAAGTGAGGGATGACTGAAATGTACTAGTTATTAAAAGTAGTTAAACCTAGCATGATGACATCATCCAAGTAGGAACAAATTATCCAATATGTGGACCTGCCCATTTTGATGGAAAAAAAGTTTTAGGAACCTGCTTTTTTGAGATTAATGGGGTATTTTTCCTGTGTAAATAATAGTGTTTCTAGGCTGCGTTCAGCATTCCTTGTTGTCATGCCTTTGGATTTGTCCACTGTTTCTTGCAGCTTCT